GTTTTTCTTTCGGTACTTCCTCTTCCCTGCCGCATTTTTCCCTTTCAATCCGTTCGATTCTATCGTGCATTTCAAGCGAAGATCGTGTCTCTTGGCCGATACCTCGCGATCACGTTGAGAAACGAGCTAGCGTCGATGAACATTGAGCGAGAACAGAGTGAGAGGCGGGGGCAGAGGGGTGGTAAAGGGAGGGTCGCGAGGCGAATGGGGGGAGGGGGAGGAGTAAAGAAGGAAAAAAACGCGGCCGTGTGTTTCGTAACGAAGGCAGCAGATATTAAATTCCATCGGCAAGCACGGAATCCGCGCGTACTCGGGAGCGTTCGAGTTTCGACTTTTGTTTGCGTCTAACTGCGAGAAGAGAGCCGAGTGAGAGCGGCGCGCCGCCATTGCTGTGCCATTGGCTGCGTACGCATGAAAAATAGAGCTCGTTTCAGCCGGTAAAAGAGGAAACAACGAAAATCAGGCTCCGGGCCTGGAAAGAGAAACTGGGAGACTGGGAGGGAAAGAAAGAGAAAGAGAGCGCACAGAGAGGGAGAGAGAGAGAGAGAGAGAATATATGTGTATATGTGTGTGTATGACGCTCTCGAACGATGCCCGAATAAATTGTGTAAATCTTTTTCGCCCGAGAGACGAACGCCAAGTTTTCCTCTCCCCTCCTTTTCCCCTGCTCTCTCCTCTGTCTTCCTCTCTTCCTCTCTCTCTCTCTCTCTCTCCCTCTTTTTCTTACTTTTTCTCTCTCATTGAATCGCATTTCGCGCTACTGTCGAACCTCGCGCTTCTCGCGATATTGTCTTTTTCCCGACGTGACGGCGCATCGGATCGCGTTGCGCGACGCGACTAAGTGATATCTCCTCGGATTTCGAGGTGGCGACGCCGACGGGGCGGCTGGCGGCGGCGTCGGGAACATTTCATTATTCAAACTTCGCGAGTGTTTTTCTCGGTTTGCCATGAGCGTCGTCTCCGTTCGGCTCTCGCCCGATTATCACGCGGGGATTCGCTTCCGGCGCGATTCGACGGACTCAGGCGGTCCTGCCTCCCGCTCTTTCTCTCTCTCTCTCTCTCTCTCTCTTTGAGGGAAACGCGCCGTTTCCCTCAAAGAGAGCTAAAAGTCAACGACAACGACGATAATGACGACGTCGGCTGAATTTGGGGTCGATTGCGATGATGAGTTCACAGCGCTTATTAAAAATTGAATAAAAAGTGTTTTTAACCCTCTCCCCCTTTCTCTCTCTCTCTCTCTCTCTCTCTCTCTCTCTCTCTCTCTCTCTCTTTCTCTCTCTATCTATCTCTGGGTCTCTTGCCAAATTAGTAAATTATCGCTACGGTGGGGCACAGATATAGACAGTCGGCGGAACGCACTCATAATCATAATTGTAATTATTATCTACAATTGTTCTCACACGCACATGTTTCCCTCGGAACGTTGGGTTGTCGAGCAGCGAGGCGGAGCGGGAGAGGGTCACGCTCGCCGTGGAAAGAATCGCGATCGTGCGGATCGTTCGATCGTTCCGTCGAAATGAATGAGTCGCCTCTTCAGCGAAACGAGAGCAGGTCGCGCGCGATATGTCGAATTTCGAATGATGAGATTACGAAGAATATTCTTGATACATGATGTACGATATGTTGTTATTTGGATGTTTCTCCCTCCCCCTGCCATTTTTACACATATGTGTATAAATACTGTATGTAAATCAAACTGCCAGATAGAATTAGATTTGGGTAAATTTTACTCCAGCCTTTTATTCCACTTACTTACGCGATATGTAAAAGTTGCATCCCTTGTGAGCGCTTCCTACTTATCGTACGGATTTATGAAGTAGAAACGCGAAGGGACAATCGGAATTTACTCAGAATATTACGGGAGTGTGTCGTGTAAAATTTAATTTTAATTCCAGACAAATATAGGAGTATACAATAACTTTGCATCTAAATAAACACAGACTTCGTAAATTTTTGTTGCTGCATCGGTGTAACAAAAAGTTCACACCATGGTATGGCGCAAGTTTTTACTTCGAAATACAACACGTCTGTATTTGTGTTTGCTTCGTAAATGCAATGAAAAAATTGCAAACTCCTCATCGTCGATCGTAATCGTAATTCCACCATCGATGGATTTACGATAACACCATCACCGATGGAAAGCTTACGAATCTTTCGTTTACGGATCTTTTTCGTTACATTACGTTCATTACTCGCGCTTTACAGTGTGACAGTTGTGTTAGTCTATCTGGGTGGTTACATTTGCCCTGCAACACGTTGGGCTGTCGACCTTTGTTGCCCATTGTACATTTGTCAAATAATACTTACTAGGGTATTTCACGATTATGTGTCGTTCCGGAGGCGAGACATTCCGGCAGCCCGCGATATCGGGCTGCGATATCAGCGTGCGTCATCACCGCTGACTTCCACGTGGCGCGGAACACGTTAACGACGATCGTCCCATTCGATTCGAGGACGGTTGACCCTCCGCCCCCTCGTCCCGAATTAAACGAAAGCGATCGAGGAGCGAATAACGAGGAGCGATTTGGAAATTTCTCGCATTTCTTTTTGCACACAGGCGAAAAGAGATTGGTCGAATTAACGTGCGCCGACGAAACCGAGCGTATTTCGCCCGAAGGTGTCGGAATTTCTGCGAACCAAAGTCGCCTCCGAGAAGGAAATTTGGCTTCCTCCGACTGAAACGCGCTCGACCCGTTCATTGCCGCGTTAAAGCACGAAGCAAAAGATGCAAAAGAACCGATTTGTATTTTATGAAAAAAAAAAAAAAAAAACGTCGTCGGGTTTGTTCAACGAGGCATCTGGAAATCTCAATGGACGTTGAGCGAAACTGACGGAGAAATGGATAAACATTTCTGCCCCTGCGTGAGGAATTTTTTTTCTCAAGAACCTGTGGTAGTTTAATCGCCCCGGCGTTGGTTCGACCGATCTCGTTTTCCCGATCGAATCGCATTCGATCGTGCAGGAGGATCTCGCGTCGTCCAAAACTACACCGCTGTGCGTTAATACGCCCGCGCGAGCGATTATGTACATTCCCTCGGCTTCTTGTAAAAGATATCGTCCGCGAGTCCTGCAGGATCGAACGCTCGATTTGGCGCTCAACGGCGGCGAGGTTGGATGAGGAGGGTTGGCAGGCTTGAGGGGGCTGGTGATTGATCTCTCTCGCTCACTTTCTCTTACGCGTGTCGTTCGCAGCGGACACATTCGAAGGGACATTTCGCGAGTATACGGCGGTACGAAGGAGAAATCGCAAACGGGATAATCGACCGATTTCTTTCGCCGGACGATTCGAGTCAAGATCGTCGCGCGCACGCGCGCGCGCGAGACAGTTATATATTTATATATCTATATATGTATATATATAATATAATAATATATCATCACTCGCGATATACACGCTCGCTTTCGCAGACGCAGCCTGGCAGTATAGAGTCCTTAGGAGTTCCCTCTTCATTTTATTGTTCTTAAAGCTTACATAGTAAAGTGATCAACGTTGTGTGTCGTAAAGAGACAACATTATAGATTTTCCCATTTCCTTACAATGAAATCATCTCTGGCGATAGTCGAAATCGAACGCAGTCGCGCGAAAGGCCCCCCTCGCCCGCCTCGCTCGTCCATCGTCGTTGATTCGCAGCGACGGAACGAGAGAGACTCGCTCTCCTCGACGGTGGATTTTCCTCATGGAAAGATGACGTTCCGCTGAACGTTCCTCGAGGAATCTTAACGACTCGTTAACGAGTGATCGAAGGAGAGAAGAAGAGAGGCACGGGATATACAGTTGAGAAGGAAGAGGGGCAGGAGGAGGGAGGGGGACGCGATCAAAGAAACTTCCTCGTTCCGCTGTTTCGGGACCGCGGAGAGCAGATTTTTCATCCTGCGAATTCAACGATGAGCGAGGTCGAGAGGCGAGTCCCTTCGCATAAACTACCTAACCGTTACACATATTCATCGCTTATATTTAATCCTACGCTTAATTATCTTACAGATCACGAGCGTGAGTCGCTGAACTCTTGCGCGGGGCTAGAACGTGCCTAGAACAACGTATCGGGATTTACGCGACGTTACAGTTGTCTCTCTCTCTCTCTCTCTCTCTCTCTCTCACTCTCTCTCTCTCTCTCTCTCTCTCTCTCTCTCTCTCTCTCTCTCATTCTCTCTCATTCTCTCGATCTGGACGTCACGCGGAATATACCCTCTCCCCGTCATGTTTCGCGCACGGCTATTTATCTTCTTTCCGCTCGTATACGGCCCCGTATAGAGAAACCACTCTCCTAACAAGTATATAAGTCTCTCATTATTTCGCGCTAACGACAGCCATTTACCCGGGAAACGTATTTCCCGCGGCGTCTCCCGCGCGCGCGCGAATGGGAGCGAAGAAATCGCAGGGGATAATTAAGCGCGAGCCGGCCCATGTCGAGGCGTTCGCGGCCTACGCTTCGAGTCGCGCGAGAATCGTTCGCCGGGTAAATCGCCCATCCCTATTTCACGCTATAAACTTAACGTCAGGTCACACGTGCTTCCTTCTCTTCCTCTCTCCCTCTTCTCTCACACTCTATCTCTGTCTCGCTCTGTCTCTTTTTCTCCATTCCGCTTGCCGTGTCCCCGTTTTCACGTCCGCCCTCTGGAATCACGGCACATCCAGCCGGCGTGGCTTCCGGCCCCGCGACCGGCTGACGGAGTCGCTGGCCGGACAGCCGAAGACAGAGCAGGGCTGCTGGAGGGCAACGACCCCCTCCCCCTCTGTCCTATCACGAAACAACGACGATCGTGTGAACGCGCGACCGACGTTCGGGGCGAGTGCCCGTCGAGGATCGACGGCCGCGATAATCGACCTAACACCTTACACACCATCGGATTAATTCCGTTAACATTCTTTACACACTCTATATGAATTTTTTACTGCAACCTCTAATGGTATTGTCAAACATTTATGCACTCGGGCTAAAGCGCATTTTAAGCTTAACGGTAGTTGGAGGAAACTTAACTCGCAAAATCGCGGCTTAAGATTATCTTCCTTTTTCGAACTCCTCGAGGAAGAGAAAAAAAAGGGGAGGGGAAAAGAGGAGGAGGAATAGAAGGGAGGGGTAGGGGAAGGTAAAGGAGGAGAAAAGAAAAAGGGGAGAGAACGTTTCCTGCCTCCTCGTCCAGCGCGCAACGGTTCGATTAATTTAGCGCGGAGAGCGCCTCGTACGCTCTCTTTCTTTCTCTCTCTCTCTCTCTCTCTCTCTCTCTCTCTCTCTCTCTCTCTCTCTCTCACTCTCTCTAGTCCATTCCGTAAATCTCTCGCGCGCATCGATGAGAGATCTCACGCTCCACTCGAAGCGACGACGTCCGTGTATAATTCCGTTCTCTCCGCGCGGCGCGGCGCGAAGAGATGAAAAAGTTAATGAGGAACCACGTCGCCGGCGGGTCAATCGGCGAGAGGAAGTTATTGGTCGCGCGATTAAAAACGATCGGACCGGCGGTAATTAGTTCGTACTTGCGCACTCGTCCCCCCATGAGGAGAGAGCTGCTCGTCGCGCTCTCGTCAGTGTCGCTGGCGCGAAAAATACCAACCGCAAACGCCACATCGATCGACTTCACGGTCGACTCGATCGTATACACTTGCGACATATGGCACGTCTCGGAATTATCGCTCGGGACTCGGGATCCTGCGGCCAACGGAACTAACAACGACCAAGAGGAAGGTCTCAAAGGTCTCCTTCTTTTGTTGCAAAGGGAAAGAATGTTTCATGCCGCAAGAGGATGATATGTATCTGAAAGTTTAGGTCCTGCGAAGTTTAAGGGATATGTATAGATTGTTGGGTGCGCGGATGAAAAATTAATTCGCGAACTAATCGTCGCCGGGATGTTTGTCTCTCAACGTCTCAAGCTGAGACTTGATATCTACTCTTTTAGAATATCCTCTAAAAATATGCAATGTATCCTGTGTAACAATCAGACCAGTGTCAATCATGCATAGTCAGCGGAACATGCATTCATTGTTCGTCAGCTCGCGACCAACAACGTTCAGCTGACGAAACTCGAGTTTCCTCGCGGTCAGTCGCCGATGAAGGAGATAATCTCGGCAGTTCCGTCGCGAAGAAAGACACGTCGTGTGAGAAGAATGGCCGTTGCTTTTTACTCGATATCTGTACATCGACTCGTTCGTGAGTTACAATCCTTCATTCTGCGCTTTACGCTCGGAATCGGCGAGCACGCGCTGCACGTGCCAGCAGCAGAGTAACTCGCAGCGCGCATGCGCATGCGCATGCGCGGGGGAACGTCACGACCCATGGCCGTGGGACTACTCGCGCGTCCACGAGTGAACGGCCGAGCGCGAGAGTGGGGGCAAGGCCGCGTCAGGTTGTTTACGTTGTGCTGACTGCGCCGAATCATTCGCCGCACGTGGCTCGATATGGATCGTCGATAACTTTGACTGTGGGTATTGCAGCGGCGTGAAGTAAAACGCGTTGGAAAGCTCTGAGACTTCTGCGTCTCCGGTGGACGTGTAAACTGTGCTGTTATCTGTGATAAAGATTGAGTAGTGAAATTGGACTATTGCGATGGGAAATATTGATTAATTTCGGAATCAGATGGAAATCTACGGTGGGAACGCTGGAACTTTGACTTAATATAAAAAGGTAACTTTTGTTTTGATTGTTACAAGGTGCAGTCGAGAAAAATTTTACTTGTTCAGGATGATATCTCTGGAAGTTATTTCGATTTGTTTTGCGAAATTGTGTTAAGAATTGATTTACAATGGGGGTTTCAGAACATTAATTTAATTTCTTTCGCAAAATCGATTAACTGTTTTGAAATTGAGACGGAAATTAATTTACGACTAACATGGCTTAACATGCTAAAGATAGTCTTCTCTTTCTAATCGTTATAAAATGTACAATAAAAAAGTTTTTATTATTTGCCCTTAATATTTCCGAAAATTTATCTAATCTATTTCGAGAAATTATCGAGAAAATAGGCGTTGAAAAATGCAAACAGTGCGTATTAAACCGCACACATTTAATCGTAGGTAACTCAGTTTACAAAATAAAAAAAACCAAGTATCCCGAAAACGATTAGCTTGCGAATCTCCTCCTGTTTCCACGTGTGAGTTCCGCTAACTACACTGAAGTCTCTACTCGCAATTCCGAGATGCACGCTCCGCTCTGCTGAAAACAACAACTCGCCTAATCGTTCTTAAAAATTCTATATATATCTATATGTATATATATTCATATGCATGTGTGTGTATACATATACGTGTAGATCTATACCCTCCGAGGAAACAAATCTCTTCGCGTCTATACGAAAGCTACGTACAAAAGGCCCGCGCGGAAACGGATACACCGTGATCCCGCCGAAAGAATGAAAGTCATCGCGCGCTCTCGCCGGTTCCCCGTGCGTGGGGAACAGCTCCGCTTTTCCCGGCTTTTTCTTCACTTCTTCCCCCTTCGTTTTCTCCTCTACCTCTTTCCCCTTTCCTTGGCCTTCCTTCCTTCCTTCCTTCCTTCCTTCCCGAGAGTCACGGAGCGAGCCGGCGTTATTCGCGCTGGCGTCGCCGGAAATGTCATCGTTGTCGTTGGCGCACGCCCCCGTTCGATTTTCGAGTCCGATCCCTCGCGTATATCCCGAACGTGACACGAGTGCCGTTACGGCGGGGGATATCATAAGCTTGTTTACTGACAGTATCAATTTCGGGGAGGGGCACCGCGTGAGCGCGCGATTTATCGAACGTGCTCCCTGCGCGTATTGCCGGCGCTTCGAAACGTTCCATTTCGTATCGAATGCCGCGGATCAAAATCATAATCTGTCCGAGAGCGCCGACGACACCGACGCCGACGTCGGCGCTGCGTCGTCGCCACGGCCGGGCGCATCGCGTGAAACGTACTGTAATGTACCGTAATGGGTAACGAGAGCTCGGGAGGACGAAGGAGGAAGAACAGGTTGCGCGAAGGCAGGCCCCAAGGGCAAACGACCGAGGTGTCGCACATCGAGTGAGCACGTGATAAAAATCACCGAGAATCGGCTGGAGACGTGCGATTTTGCGAGACCGTGCATTGCGACGCGATCTTTCTCAAGAGTCGCGATGAATGTGACATATCGCGCCGCAGTATTTTGTATCGTAAACGCGATTTCATATCGCGAGTGCGATTTTGAATTGGGCGCGATTTAATGTCGCTCTCTCGACTTTTAATCGTACGTGGTTTGAAATTGTACGCGACTTTTCGCGTTTGTATGCGTGATTTGGATTTGGCGTGTAATTTCGAATCGCAGGAGTTTTCGTCAAATCGCATGCATCAAAGATCCAATTGCATATCGCATTGCGATTCAATAGAGGGAGATCACAGTGTTTGTCATATGTCGAAAAATCGCACATCTCTAGAACTGACTGTACAATTGGGCAATAATGGTTGACACGCTTTTTTTAATGCGCTAGTTGGTAGGGACAGATGGTTATCGGAAGTTGGAGGATATTGCGCAAAAACAAAATTGCATTGCATTATTTTTAACGGATAACTTCTCCAAATTAGTGATCTGCGGTACTGAGGAGATTAATCCTCAGTTGGCGGAGCCAAAAGAACGTTGAGTGTTTTCATTATTAATTTTCAAACGGTATAATTAGAAGATAAAAATAATTAGGAGGCTATATAAATATAGTTAAATAAATTTAATTAGGAGGACATACATAATTACGAGACGAAAAATTGTTACGCAATTTGGGGAGACCTGAAAGCGAGTCTGTTTTTTTCTTACATTTTGCACGAAAAAGAGATTAAAAATTTATTACAAATTGGCCGATGCAAACATTGCTACGAAAAACGATGTGGAGAGTTGAAATTGTTCCGCAATATTTATGTTACAGTGTCGATACATTGTTAACCTCCCGTAAAAATTTAACCAAACTCGCATTAATATCCAACATTCTGCTCTTCTCTCTAACGATCATATATCTCTCTCTTTCTTTCTCCGATTATACCTTAAGTCTTGTTTATACTTACACTTCTTACACTAGAATTGAATTTTACGAAACGAATCAAGAACAAGTGTGTCAACCTTTATGGCTTCGATCGTACGATTAGAGGAAGAAAGGTAGCAACGTTTTCATCTCGATGAAAGCTTCGAACACCTTGGAGATCCGAGGAAATGTCTCCTGTGAAAATCAGCGGAGCGCAAATCCCCCAATCGGACACGCGGCAACGGCAGTCGCGAGAAGGGCAAAAACAGTATCGCGACTTCTCTTCCGTCGATGTTCGCATTCCTGGCGGCATTCTGGCGGGAGGAACGATGCACGATGCGGGATCGAAGAACACAGCGCGTGCTTGTCGTATAACAACGGCTGTGTGGACGATCGGTGTGATTCGCGACGGAATCCTCGGGCCGAGACGCAGAGTTCTGCTCGCGCGAGAAAAATCACAATACACTTACATAGAGTCACTCACACACGACACACACACACACACACACACACAGCAGACACAAGCATACGCAGATAATAAATTCACGGATTAGGTGCGCGTAACGCGGCGCGCGAGGTTACAAATGGAATCCCGGCTGGAGTTCCGTCGTGAATCGTAGACTAAGAAACGAACATTGTTACGGCTATTGTCAATTGTCAAACGTTGTTACGCAAGCGACAGCCGGCACGCGCACGGCCTGTGAGACGGGCGAGCTGTCCGTCCTCGACGGTGATAACGACCTGTGCGCTTCAGCTTCGACTACTCGCTCGTCCGCGCGCGCGCGAAAGACCGCGAAATTCGCGCGAAGCGCGCTCGCTCCGGCGGCCGCTGTTGCTGCTGCTGCTGTTGCTGTTGTTGCTGCTGCTGCTGCTGCTGCTACTACGGCGACAGTGATTTGTGCGATTCGTACCGGTTATCGGTTTCAGCTAACGCTATTCACGACAGCGTGTGTGCGATGTACGCGCGGCTCCATGAGGAGACACCACGTCGACGTGGTGCTGTGGTATGAAAAAAAGAAGGGAAAATAAAAAAACAACCGTGAAAAGAGCGCCGGCGGCGCGCGAGACCGACGACGAGGTCGGCACCGGCTACCGACTGACTCGTCCGCTACGACGGTGTTCCTGCGCGTTGTGTTCTTTCTACAACGTCAGCGACACGTGTGTTAATTCGCGCGCACGCGAATTACCGACGTACGAGGACGACGACGACGACGACGACGACGACGACGACGACGACGGCGGCCGCGGTTTGGGTTGGTTGTTTTGTTGGTTTGGTTGGTTGGTTGGTTGGTTGGTTGGTACGTTCGTGCCGATTTACGGATCGTCACTTGGGTACTAACTTGGTCTGACTTGATCTAGCTTGGTCGATGAGGGACAGTTCCACCAGTTGCCGTTGAGCTCGCCGATCATAGAAAGCCGGATCAGGTTCCAGCCTTCCAGTTCTCTGTATCAGGTATCGTTGGACTCACCGGGCTTGTAGCCGAGGTTTTTGCGCTGCAGGAACAGGTGGATGTCGCGGAAGGTCGGCCGGTCGACGTCGTTCCTCTGCCAGCACTCGCGCATCAGATCGTAGATCTCCTTCGGACAGTTCTTCGGCAGCGGCAGTATCATCTAAATGAAACAAAAGCCAGACTTGGTCACATTGACCGCGCTTGACCACGTGTCGTAATTCATTTCTCGAAAGAGTTTAGTTCGGTCCATTTTTCAATCGCCGTTATCCGTCTTCTTTGGTGAGCTTCTCGGTAGCCAAGCTGATTTATCCTGTTTTTCTTGTAGATTTCAGTAAATTCAGTAAATTTCAGTAAATTTCTCTTTAGCAATTTTGTTTTCATAAACTGTTGAATTTCGACAATTTTTCTTTTTTTTTAATTGTATTTTCAAATCTCTATAATTTTAAATTCCTTCTTCAGTAATTTCTTTTTGTTTCTGTGAATTGTTTAACCTCAACAAATTTCTTTTCGTTTGAGAAGCTCTAAATCTTAGCAAACTTTATGTCTCTGTTTTAATAATTCTCTTGTCGTAAATTTTTTAATTTTAGTATCAGAGCGCATAATCAATGTGCGCCCAACTTTTCAGACTTGAAAGATTTACAGAAAGTGAAGTTAATTGCTTCGACTTACGCGAGAGACTCCGTATAATCAATATTTAAACAGTTCAGACCACGACTTGATGTCGTTTGTTTGAGGGGAACAAAGAGTACACATAATGGCGTTGAAAGAGGATTAAATTTGCCTCCTACCAGAAGCTGATTACGGTATCTTGGTCAAGCGATATGCATAAGCTCGTTCGATTGTACACTTCACGCGAATCAGACGAACGTGCTGTCAACTCGGTGAATGTACATTATTTTTCGCGGATATGTCGAAGCAGGAAACAGATTATCGTCTCTTGCATCGTGCACTGTTTTAAAATAAACAAGACGAGCCGCGCGAATAAAAACACCTCGTATTCATAATTGATGGCAAATGTTTGTGGCCGGCAAAATCGAGAGAGTAAAAGAGAAGTGGACAGATAGTGAGGGACGAGTGGTGGAAGGGAGAAATTAACGGAATAAAACAATTCTTACAGCGTGCGTGTTATTTTGAAGCATTGTCGACGCTGACAAAACGAACGCAGGCTCAACACGGAGCGTGCTAGTCGCGATATTTATTACGTTACACGAATTACCCGGCAAGTAGTGCTTCGTTTCCGTTTCCACGGAACACTCGCGCGCGCTTTTACAATGGCGTGTTCAGCACGCGGGCGAGCGTTTATTCGAGAGCCCGCGACCCTCTTCGATGACGTTAATTGCGCTATATTCGCCTTCGAAAGAGAGAGCGAAATAAAAAGAGAGAAACAGAACACCGCGGCCCGCTGAGAGAGGGCCACTTTTGAAATTAGCCGTGCGCGCGCGCGTGCAAGAGAGAAAGAGAGGGGCGGGGAGGGGGGGGGGACAGAGAGAGGATAAAAAAAGAGGGGAAGGAAAGGGGTGGAAAAAACGAAAAGAAGGGAAAGGAAGGGAGGGAAATGGAGTAAAGTCGTAAGAATCCACGGAGTAAGGTAATCAGAAGTCTGAAAGACGGAATAAATAGCGGCGTTCAAAGCCGGCCTGAAAAGCTCCGCGAGGCACTCGACGCGAAATCAAGTGCTCAGTGTGCTCATTACGTTAAGTACGTCGGACACAATGCGCTCGCGAGCGCATGAAGGAGGAAGGAAGATGTCGAAGAATTATTCCGCGCACTTACCCTTCGCTTATCCTCCTCGTAAAAGTAAGTCGCGTTCTCCACTATTCGATGATCCGGAAATTCCTCGAAGGGCTGCTCCCGCGCGAACGTCAGGATCTCCCACAGGGTCACGGCGAACGCCCACACGTCGCCCTTACACGTGTACTTCCCCTGCGAACAACACGTAACGCATCCAAGGAGATTCGTATAAGAGCTCGGCTCGGGCTCCGTCGCGGCGGCTGCCGTCACAGACGAGAGCGATTTAGCTGAACGCGCGCGTTGGCCCGAAAAATGCAGATCTCGGGAAATACGGGGACTGGGACTGTTTCTTCTCCCAGCTGAGAAGTCACGCGACATTGAAGTCCAAACTGCGAGACAATATCTCAAAGTAGAATCTCCTCAGGTGTACAATTGCGCTCCGAGGAGCGACACTTAACGCGAAAACACTCGCACGTAGACATGTTAAGGCTCCTGGATGCTCGTCGCGGCCATCTCGATTTACTCGTATAACATCAAAAGCGAGAAAGTGCATATTCGAAAGTCCTGCAAAGTACGCCGAAGTGAAGGAATCGATTGAGTACACCTGTAAGATACTCCTACAACACTTTCCTCTCGCTCTAACGATCAATAAATTACCGTGATACCAATGTGACACGTAACTCAACTTTTTAACCTATCTTCTTTTATGATTCTGTCGCATTGACTTCACGGTAACTACTCTATTTTTGCGTTTCGATGTACTTTGCTGCAAGAATTTTAAGCATGTATTTTCTTGTTTCTGACGTCATGAATCAAGATGGTCATCGCGAGCATCCGGGAGTCTTAATATTTACTCATTTGAGTACATTCTTGCTTTCGATATTTCGGCAAAATTGTATTTCAGGAGATTGTCTCGGTAGCTGGATTTTAGTGTTGTAATTTAAAAAAAATGCCTTACTTTAAAAATTTGATATATTTTGTTTCAGGACAATGTATATCCACCAATAAACTAATTAAATTAAGTATTTCGGTAAGATTGTATTTCGAAAGATTGTCTTAGTATTAGAATTTTGATATTATGACTTTTACAGATATTTTCTCACTTTTCCAATTTTGATCTTTTTTTTTTTTTTAAGACAATGTACGTTGTTATTATTATTATTATTATAATTCTTGATATTAATATTTTATTATATATATGCGTAGATATTACAGTTGCGACAGATTTCGAATTATCTACGACTATACAGCTGTAATCGCAGACTCGTAATTATTATTGCAATAATTTCCATGCGATCACGCGTATATCGATCTGCGTCATTTATTATTAATTTTCATAGCATGGTTGATATTGATTTTTTAGAACCGGACTAATTTCGTCCTTCCATTGCTCACGTGTGATTAATTATGGATACGCTATCCATAAAATCAGCCAATATTGACAGATGAATTAGCGGTGACACTTTTAAATCGGTGCTTTTTAACTGTGAATTATTTAAATCTACTGGTCCGACAGTAATATTTGATCGTACTTGAATATTTGATCGTACACAATCGCTTCACTTAGGTAGAAAATTAATAGCCTTAATAATTTATCTGAGAGATGAAACTTGGCGTCTTGCGAAATTGACCGACAACTGATCGTGACGCTTTGATACATTTTTCTCTCGGGATATTGTATTTTCGTTTCGATAAATAAATCGAGCAAAGCATTTCGAGCAAAAATGCGGCAAGTTGTCCCGATGATTCGAATTTCGTCTATTACGACTTTGCAAGGATTTTCCCACATTTTCCAAATTTACATTCCGAACTTAAGGGACACCGCATATCCATTGTTTAGGCTCCAGAATACTCTAGAGGATCTTATTATTTACACTGCGCGCGCTTGCGCATGTATCGCGCCACAAGTAGCGTGACCTTCAACGCGTCGCGGCGGGGGCCCGAGCCTTCGCGCGTTCATAACAATCATCGACACGTGCGAGTGAGGACGATATCGCCGCTGCCGTCGCCGATTTTGCGAGATCTGCTGTCGCAGAGAGAATAAAAGTTGCCTGTGGGCGAGCATCGTGTGCGTCATAACGGGTAATTACCGTGTTCTGGGCTTGTATTGATGAATATGAATCTGGGAGAAATATATAACTCAATTTAATTTAACCAAACCTAACCTAACCTAACCTAACCTAACTTCTGCCCGAAAGTTTCGTCTTCTCGAATCGTCTCTCCAGACTCAGTCGCGTCGTTGCCGCTGTAACTGATCGAAAACATTATTTGTTCCAGATCTAGCGGGACATCGCGAGGGCTGCAACGAGCTTTGGGGAACCCGGATGCCGTGCCGGAGGATTGGATTTGAGCCGAGTAGCATCTCCTCAAAGGTGAGCTTTGTGCGGATTCTTTATCTTTCTTCCTCTTTGTTCCTCGTTGAAATCTATTTCGATCAACTACGATTCATTTATAGAATCTTGCGCGTATGATCATTGTGTTTACACCTTTGTGTTTACACCTTTGAAAGCAGCGAAGGGCATTTTGTATTTTTGAGCGTGACGATTTTTGTTTTCGTTAGATTCGAGTGAAAGAGAAACGGCCGATTCTCTCTCGTTCGCGATCGACATTTCTGGATTGAATATTTATGTAATAGCGGCTCGTCGAGATCGAGCGACTTCTTTGTCGTTCTGCTGCTAATCAAAGAAATTATTTTATGTTTCAGGCATGATGAAAGTTCTCTGCTACTGCGATGGATGTGGTCGTGGAGGACACTTCTGGTAAACGTGGATGCTGCACCGGAGGATCCGGTTCATGCCAAGCGGAGCTGGCTCGAAGGTATGTTCATTTTTGTGCATTTGCTCCTTAGTTTTTCCGGTAAAAAGTCCAAATGTAACTGATGAAATACGAAGTACGATTTATGACCGCAAATACTTAACTCGCTCTTATCTTTTACTCACATGTTGGTGTTAACTACAAAAAAGGGTCTCTTTTTCGTTCCAGATCGTGTAGCAGAATGTGGCCGGCTCCGATCTACTGTGGTTTTGGTGAGTGAAAAATGAAAAAAATTAGTACAAAAATTTAACCTCTTCAAACGCGCCGATTAATCGGTCGTGAGAAATTTAATTTAATGATTTTATATTGTTTAACTTTGAAATAACATTATAATATCTGCAATAATCATGACGAGATTTCGCTGTTTATGAATTTTGAGATGAATATTTACTCACAATAATATACATTATTTATCTTCACAATGTTTGAATTCGAAACAAAAGAAAACATACAAGCATACATGAACGTGTCGGGGTGTCTCCGAAGAGGTTAAAATGATTTGGTTTAAAAGTGGTGGTTTCTTTGTTTCGAGTCAATGCGATTTGAATAGTTCGTAACTTTTTACATATTTTGTGTCGTCCAACGAAATATACCGTTCGAAACAATCAGGAGATTGTTTCTTCGCAGACATGCGAAATATAAATGAAAAGAAATATTTATATTAAAATTATATCACAGCTTTCGAGAATATTTAAATATTATACATTTTTAATATCAAAATCCTTTAAAAGTAATATATTTAAAGATACTTGTGGAAAGAGCATAAGATATTTCGAAATATTTACAAGACAATACTGTACATCTTTGAGTATTTTTCAACAAGTTTTAATGCCAGTTTTAACCTCAAGTCAACACAATCACATTAACGCGCGATGCTCTATATCATTAATTCTATTCCATTTTATATTTGGTTGAAACTGTAGAATTATTCGACGGAATTATTCGCGCGGTGCGACTCTCCGATTGTTCGGCACGCGTTATATAATGCGCCACCGCGCGCGAAACGCGCGATTAGTTTGGTCGCATTGATAGATTTCGCGATCGCCGTGATTATCAATTTTTCGGGCTTCCCGCGCGTACATTCGCGCATCCGCCGCTGTGCGAACCCCGCAAACAGAGACGGACGCAGCGAAATTAATTTCGATAGCGCATGCAGATAAGCCCCGCCGAAATACCGCGAAGCCAGCATCAGAGATTCGCGTTATCTCGCTCCCGAAACCGCACGCGGAATCGCGTCGACTTGATACACGCTCGCTTTTAGCGTTTTAAATCCGCTCACAGTCTTTGCATTTTCACGCACATGTCTCGCATATGACGCCGACGCAAGATAACGTAATTTGTGAATAAATAATTTCTCGCGACGGAAGAAGCACCTATTTCGTTGACAATACGCGACGAACGTCTCTCATTCGCGTTTGTTCGGAAGAGACGGGCATTTCGGACAATCACGATTATGTTTCGTGTCGATAGCTTCCACAATCGCCACGATTTCGCCGATTGACGATTCGAGAAAATCGCTCGCCGAATTACACTCGCGGGATCATCACGATAGCGTGAGTTGATCGAACGAATTCGAGAATTTCGAAATGGCCGCGATTCAAGTCGCAAATAAATCGCGACTTTTACTCGATTATCGTTAACTCGCCGGAAACACGAATATCAGCCGCGTCGCGAGTGAAGTGCAACAAATATGGAACAAGATCGCGTGGGACGGAGATTGCGACGTTCCTGGGCCCAGGACTCCGATGGACCCGGATAGATGGACGCTTCTGAACGCCTCATCGTGTCTCATCGTGACTCATTAATGGTGAGCGTGCAATTAGAACGCTCATTGAGCGTCATTTGTAGTAGTGCATGTGTGTATAGCAAATCGCATTGGTTCCCAACGAAAAGCGCAAGGGAAAATATACATTACTATGTTGACGAATCCGAAAATTCCATTATGCGACATTATGCGACCGCGGGCCGATTTTGATGAGTCCGTCACTTGCTGACTATCGTGACCTCGACATCTTTATTAAGAATTTATTCGAGAGTTTATTCGAGAATTTTATCGACGTTTACAATCGCACAATAAAATGTCACGCACAATAAAATGTCACGAAGAATCGCACGATATCCGAGTCGAGATCTTGAATTTCTTGAAAGTCCCGCAATTGATAATTTATCTTTCTAAAACTATTGCTTGAGTCGCGTATCTTGTTTCGAATTATCTCACTTGTCCTTATATAAATCCTGAAATTTTTTTTCGAAATTTCGCATCCCTTACAGAACCCTAGATCTCACTAAAGTTTTCTACGCATTGAAAAAAAAAATGATAACAGGAATAAAACATTATAATCTGCGGTCGAGCAAGCGACACAATCAGCGCATTGCTC